GGTAGAGGGAGAAGCAGGCTCTCCGCCAAGCAAGAAGCCCGATGTGACTCAATCCCAGGACCCTGGGATCATGACCTGAGCCAAAGGCAGACGCTTAACCGACTAAGCCACCCAGGCGTCCCTTGCTGCAGGAAATTTATAAGTATCCTATGAAAAGTGTTGTGAAGTCTCCTCATTACAAAAGAATTTGTCACTTCCATTGAGAAAGCTCTTTGCCAACTAATGCTCTCACAAATGAAGAAAAAAATATATATAAGGTGCTTTAATATTAGAGGAGGTGTTTGTTCATCTATCCACAGCACATTTGAACAGAACAAAAAAGTTCCTAGCTACATGTACAATTTCAGCCCATGACAAGCATGAGACTTACCCCTGCTGGAAGAAGGCAAAACTGACACAAATGGGCATGTGGTGGATGCTTAACGGTACAGGATCTCGCTCTTCAGGTGTATACTGTTTGAAAATAAAAGCTTCAATAATTAGCCACTAAATTATAAACATAAAAAAACACCTTGCACATCAAGTATTAAAAAATATAATTCCTTTAATCGTCAGTTGAGTACCTAAATTAACTCTTTCACAATTACCTGTTCGACTTTGCCACTCATGTTCCTTAAAACTTTATGCATATGTCAAAAAGCTTTAATGGGGTATAAATACCACAAAATCCATTCATCATAAGTATGTATCTAGTCACTTTGGAGTAAATTTAGAGTTATGCAACTATTACCACAATCCAGTTTTTTGACCTTTCCAATACCCCCCCGCCAAAATCTCCCTGAGTCTATTTGCAGTCACTTCTCACTCCCACTCCCAGCCCCAAGCATTCCATGTAAGTGGAATCAAACAATTTTGTCTTTTGTGTCTGCTTCCTTTGAAGTTAGCATGTTTCATCCATCTTACAGTATATATCACTAGTTTGGTCCTTTTTACTGCTGAATAGTATTCCACTGTGTGGATATACCACATTTTGTTTTTTGACTTACCAGTTAATGAACATTTGGATTGTTTCCAGTTTGGGGCTATTATGAACAATGCTGCCATGGAACATTCACATGAAAGTCTTTGAAAATGTACTATCATTTCTCCTGAGTAGATTCCTAGGCATGGAACTGCTGGGCTGTGTAAGTTGACACTAACTTTTTAAGAAACTCCCAAACTTCTCCAATGTGGCTATACCACCAGCAATAACTCTACAATATATTTAAATTGATCTTCTCTCTTTTACGTCCTCACACCAATTCCCTTTACTAAAGGAACATCTCTATTGTTAATAAACCTTTGTCTCTGGGGTGCCTGGGTGGCTCAGTCATTAAGCATCTGCCTTCGGCTCAGGTCATGATCCCAGGGTGCCGGGATCGAGCCCCACATCGGGCTCCTTGCTCCTCGGGAAGTCTGCTTCTCCCTCTCCCAATCTCCCTGCTTATGTTCCCTCTCTTGCTGTTGTCTCTCTCTGTCAAATAAATAAAAAAAATCTTTAAGAAAAACAAACAAAAAAAACCTTTGTCTCTACCTCTCAGTCTTTCGAGTCTACTCTAGTCTAATGCCTAAAAACAGCAAATGAATGACTGCTCAGAAATGTGGGCATCTGATGTTTCCTTTCACAACTTTAAGACTCAAACTATCCAGTGTACTTTCATTATTCCTGCATGAATTCATATAAATTGACAATGACATGCTTAGCACAAAAGAAAGGCAATGTAAACAGTACATGTCAACAGTTTTTAAAATGTGGCCCATCCACTGGCAGCATCAGTATCACCTGGGAACTCTGTTACAAGTACAAATTTGTAGGTTCTACCCCTACCCTACTCTGAGGGTGGAGCCTAGCAATGTTTTAATAAACCTTCCAGTTGTTTCTGAAGGACTTATGCCAGAGACTAAGCACAAGTATCTCAACGTGCCGAGAACCATGTATTTCTCACACATGTGGCTCCTAAACATAAGCCAACCGCTTCATCTAGTGCTCAATCCCAAGAAAAAGTCATCTAGTTTTATCCTAGAAAACCAAGATAGGGTGTGCTTTTATTGACAGACACTTTGATACAAAAGATTTGAGAGATTTCAAGGACAATTTTGACCATATATCATTTTTGCCTTATCAACAAATTTCAGAACATACTTAATTACCATCTACAATAAGAATTCACTAATAACAAGTTGCCTGAACATCAAGGATATTCATTCTTTCATAGGGAGAAGCGTGGCTCGAATCATGGGAGCTTACCAGTGTTACTTCATCTCCTTGGACAGAGACATCGGGTCTTCGGAAGTGACACAAGGCTACAATTGCAGCAATGCTGGCAGCATCAATAATATTCCCATCATGATTCAATAAATGTAGGTCCACACGTATTTGCCAAACCTGAATGTGAATTTAAAACAAAAATAAATCCTAACTGATCACAACCAGTGGCTATTCATAAGGAAAGTAACACTGCGTGCAAATTTTTCTCTTGCAGTTAAAATATGCAATTACTCCTTCTATTTTATCAATAAAAATGTATTAAGAGAAATGTTAAGCCAGGCCAACAACTGAAGTACCAGTAGTTCACCTTTCTATGAGTCATCTGACAAGAGTAAAATATACACTCTAAATAAATAGAACCATTGCACAATTAATACTAAGATTTTCCCAATCCTAAATATATTTTTATTTTGTCTCCTAACTTAAAAACCTCAAACTCTTAGGTTTTACATAACAGTATTTATATTAACCTTACATGTAATCCAAATAGGAAGGATCATATTGAAGGATATAATGTGGAAAGTGACTTCTCTGGAGTCAAAAAGATAGTCAAAATACCCCAATCAAGAGTAAAGTTCTAAAACATCACCATGCAGCACAATTTATTGAGAGTAACATTTCCAATGTCAGTCTACCACTGACTCCCTGTGTAGCCCTGTGTAAGTCAATAAACCTTCACAAAAGAAGGATTTAATCTGTTCTTCAGTTCCTCATTCATAAAAAAAGGAACACATTACCTGCTTCTATCAACTCACATAAAGAACATACTAAAACAATATAAGAAAAACCGCAAGTTCTTTGAATAAGACATTTTTACACACATTTGGCCAAGTTGATACTTTCACCAATGTTTATTGTCCCTTCAGAGAGAGAGATGACAAAGTTCTATGCGTAGCACTCAGGAACATGTGAAATGAAGTGAATCAGTATAAAATTGAATTAATGGAAGCTCTGAGAATAAAAGCACAGATATAGGAATCCATGAATCAACAATACTCAACCTAAGATTAAGAATTTTGGGCATATTCCCCACCTTTTCACCAGCAACAACACAGAGAGATTCAGTGTCTATACACTTCGAATTTCTTAGACATCTTTCCAAGAGTCGATTCAACTTCACCAAGAGATCTGACTGCCTATGAAAATAGGAATGGGCTAATGTCATGAAATATAACACCAGGCATTAAAACAATAGCTCACTGCTGTTATGTTCTCCTCTGGCTAAAAAGCAGCTTAAAAAAAAAAAAAAAAAAAGATTTAAATACCTGCCAGGTTCAAAAGCTGGGGCAGCCATCTGAGAGAGTTCAAGGTTAAAAAAAAGAATACCTTCTGTTGCCCTGTTGAGCTTTGGAGAAACAAGTTCACAGGAAACCTGTCCAAGAACTCTGCAAAATAAAGTACAAATCTGTTAACTAAATAGATCTCCTTTCCAATTAAAAATAAATCTAAAACAGGTACCAGTTAAGTTTCGATCTTACTCCGAGTAACAACATACTCAGTATGATATATCATTAGAGGCTGAAATTACATATAAAGTATAGAGTATACACAGAAATAAAACACATATTGGCATACACAAAAGGATGACAAGAAAAAAACATCTCTTATTACAATATTGACTATTCCACAGATTTTTTTTTAAATCAATGATCTTTACTTCTCTTTTCTAAAACAAATATTTATTGACACAAGATGGCCTGAAAACTTGAGAGATTTCTTAAGAGTTTTCATATGGCATGGCTGGCCAACATTATCTGAACAATATCCTCACAGCTTCCAAATGAATATTAAAAACCTAATTCTCATGTCAGGAAAATGAGAAAAGTAGGCCTACTTAATGGGAAGTGCAGAAAACAAATTCAGGGCAATTACTGCTGGCTGTATATATGACTTAAAGAGATCAGAAAACTATGTGATACTCATGTGATGAAAAATATATTTATGGTTAAAAATAAAAAACTCTCGCATTAAAGAAAATATACTTATTTTGGCATACTTCTTAGCTGCTTTGTAAACAACCGAGTCAATAAGGTCCTTTTAAACTTTTCCCTGTTGAGCTTTTATCTAATTTGAATCCTTTGTTACCTTGTTTTCCCGAGTTCCACAATACAGCACCCATAATCTGTTCCAAATGAGATCTTGATGTTCCTATAATCATAGGTTTGTCTGCCATCCAGCCGCTGTAAGCACAACATTCATTCGTTATTCCTTCAACAAATATTTATTGAGCAGCTACTCTATGCCAGGGCTAAACAAACACTTGGAGGTAAGTGGATTCCTAACCACTCCGCATAGGATAGTGGAAACCAGATCCCAAGCACTACTAGTCGCTGGTGTGACTCCAGCTTTGAACCCAACTGGAGCCAAAAAAAAAAAAAAAAGGTGGAGGGATTGGGGGACCGCACCGGCGGTTCCCTCCAGGGGCTCCCTGGGCCTGCGAGGGCCAGCTCTGTACGACCAAACCCGAAGGCTGCGAGCGGCGGTGCGGCCAGAGCGCCCACGCACCGCGAAGTTTCCCGGGACCATTTACCTTCTTCTCTTCGATGGCGCGGAGTAGGAAACGGCGCTCGCAGTTTGAAAGTGGTGTCTCCTTCATGCCGTGGGACCACAGCACACACTAGCACCGGAATCAGCTAAGAAAAGTGAACTCGATCCCCGCACGCGCTCCACGCTCGCTCTGACGCGCAAGAAATACACGTCATCAGAGCTCGGCGGCTTAGGAAAGCCAGGGCGGGGGGCGGTCGCCAGTGCGCAAGCTCAAAGCAATGTTGGCGCTAGCGGTGCTGGCTCGGAGAGAGGCGAGCGCCTTCGAGGAGGCGGGTTTCTGAACGTAAAGCTCTATTTCTTTTATCAGAAACTGTAGGGAAGAAAAGGACCCCAAAACAACGATCAGTGGTAGAAATTAATATCAGTATATAGGGCTTTCGCATTTCACCCTTTCTTCAGTTCTAGCGGGGTAGACTAGGCAGGTATTATTGTTATTTTACACAGAGGAGGAAGTTGAGATTTAGCCAGAAAGCTGCAAAGGCAGAGTTTGTAGCATTTTCAGTGGAGAAACACTGGAATGAACGGGCGAAATGGAGAGGAGGGAGGAGAGCAAACTTGAGACGGTGAAGTGGGGTATTGCGGGCTGAAAGGTGAAATCTCGTAGACTTGAGAAGTTGACAGGAATTTAGAATATTGACACTTCGTAACTAACGGTGTTATAATCACCACTAGCTGAAACAAAATTTGTTGTTTATTTTTTCAGTCTCTCCAGTTATTTTAAGCCGATAAACTTATTTTTATGGGCATAGAGGAACCGGATGCTTGCGCCGCCAACCACTCAGCTTTTCTTTAGAGAGGCGGTATCAAGCCGTTAAAAGCAGGATCTCCAAAGTTCTGTGACCCTGGCCAAGTTAGCTTATGTGCTTCACTTTACTCATCTGCAAAGTAGGAGTGATAAGCCTATTTATTATGTCGGATGAAAACGAGTTAATACATGTAAAACGCTTAGCACAGTGTCTGGAACGAGTAAGTAATATGTGTTTGCATATTTTTTTTTGCAAATTTTTTTTGTGTGTGTGTGTGTTTGCATATGTGTTTTTTTGTGTGTGTTTGCATATGTGTTTGCAAATATTGTTAACATTTGTTTCTGAGGTGATAGTCACTGTAACTCCTTTTCAGGCTCCATTCCCCTACTTTCGTCTTTTTTTACAAGTTTTTTTTTTTTTTCCTACCAGTGATACAGTGTAGTCTGTTTGTACTACTTGCAATTCATGTACTCAATAAATTACATTTTGTGTATGTGTGTGTGTGTGTGTGTGTGTGTGAGGACCTTCTGTGTGGCAAGAATAATTCCAAGTGCTGGAGAAAAGGGGTGGACAAAATCTTGTTCCTCAAGGAACCCATATTCCCTTTGGAAGAGACAAACAATAAAAACTTAAACACACACAAAACCCCAAGTTCACATTCTGAATGCTATCTGAGAATGGGGTTGCTATTTCAATAGGGATAGTTGCAGAAAGAGGTTGTTCTGTAGAGGTGGCATTTGAGTTAAGTAAATTCTCAGTAATGAGAAGGAGCAGCCATGATACCATCTGGAAGAAAGGAAGTGTTTCAAGCAGAAGGAGCAACATTAGCCAAGAATGAGATAGGATGAGCTTAACATGGCCTGAAGACAGAAATTGTGAAGGAGGAAAGTGGACAGAAACTATGTCCACATGCTCAGTGAATTGGTTTTCAAAACAGGCAAGGGGATTACGGAGTATAGGCCATTCAAGTTCTTTAACAACGTAAGTTCTTTTATAGTACAACTTCACAACAGAATTCCTGGCTAACTTCATCATTTAAATCCTTGTGTTCTTTTAGTGGGCATTTACGAATTTCTCTTTTCTTCAGAACTGAAATGTTGGCCTTTACTGAAGTAGTCTATCCTTTCCTGGGGGGCAGCTTGGTAATGGAAAAAGAATGTTGTTTGGCTTCAGATAAACTTCGGTTCTAATGGACTTTGAGTGAACTAAGTAATCTTTTGAACTTCAGCTTCTGTATCTTAGTTTGGAAAGAATAATTACTTCGTGTTAAGTTGAAAGAATCTAACAGTGTTTTGGACAGGATAGCTATTCAATTGGTTTCCTTCCCTTTTTTGGCTTGCCAAAGGCTTCCCTTGAAATCACCCTGATTTGCCATGTCAGATTGCTGTTCTGAGATTGCTACTTGATTACTTTGCCTTTGCTTTTCTCCACTTGGGTAGAATTCCCACTGTTCTTTCCTACTTTCACTATTATGTTATTGTAATTTTAACACTTCAGCATCTGCCTTTTACTGGAGTTAATCCAAAGATGTATAACCCGTCTCCACCCACATCTACATACCATCACAAAATATATTTACATCATAATCTTATTTTTAGTAAGAAACCTTTGAAACACCCAAGGGACCTTGGCTTCATGTTTTTGGGGGAAAATTTTTTTTGAAGTTTGAAAAGAGGTTCAGATAATATTGTACATTCTGCTCTTTAAAAATAATCAATTTGAATCAGAATATTAACCTGGATTGTCTGTCTAAATATAACCTGGTTTTCAACAAAATATTTGAGTATACATCTTTTTTTCCCCTCTTTATTGGGCATCTGTTGCTTTGTCTGACCAGCATCCTTCTATTTTTTGGAGAAATGTCCTTTCCTGATCCCACATTATTCTGGTATTAATGTTTATAGGAGGCAGGGTATGACCAGGCCCTACTAATCATGGAACTCCATCCCTCTCTCCTCATTGCCTGTTCACCCAGGCAGGGCTAAAAAGAGTCGCTTCATCAGTCTTGACATGTGAACTCTAGGAAAGAGTAGGTCTTTCCTTCTCTAAGATTATGACCTCTAACGACAATGCAAGTCTGGAACTGTTAGGGGCCATCTTGCTACCACAGGGAGAGAATGTGTTTGAAAATGAAGTCAGACAGAGGCCCTAAACTGAGAAATAAAGGAGAGAAGTGGAGCCCTTATGTAGAAATAGTTTGCACCAGTTCTTGGACTTCCCAGTTGGTGAACCAGTACATTTGAATTGGTCTCTGGTTAAGTGTGTCCAGAAGAATCCTGACTAAATACATTTCTACTAGATTATAAAGATCCATGTCTTACTAACCTTTATAGCACCTACTGAAACTGGTGTACCTTGTGAGTAAATGAATGAGTGAATGGTCTGTTACAGCACATCTGGTAAAAGAAATTAATAGGTGGATGAATAAATGAACAAATGGAATCTTACAATTTTGTTTACCATATAATATGTCTGCTGTACAATTTGTCTCTATAGAAATTGATTTTCCAGAAATTATCCTGGAAGAAGATAATGCAAAATGTTAAGGTGGTTATCTCTGGGTGGTGGGATTCTGGGAATTTTTTTTTTCTTTTTTGAACTTTCTTCTTTATGAATTTCCCAAATCTCCTGTGAGGCATATAATAGCTTTTATCATCAGAAAAAGTAAAAATAAAAATGAGTTTTCCTTTTCTTGTTCTGAAACATTTAACTATTTATTTAAAGACATTTTGGCTGGGGCGCCTGGGTGGCTCTCAGGTCACGATCCTGGAGTTCTGGGATCGAGTCCCACATCGGGCTCCCTGCTCAGCGGGGAGTCTGCTTCTCCTTCTGACCCTCCCCCCTCTCATGCTCTCTCTCTCTATCTCATTCTCTCTCTCAATAAATTAAAAAAAAAAAATCTAAAGACATTTTGGCTTTCAACTACATTTTTTTTTTTAAGATTTTATTTATTTATTTGACAGAGGGAGACACAGCGAGAGAGGGAACACAAGCTGGGAGAGTGGGAGAGGGAGAAGCAGACTTCCTGAGGAGCAGGGAGCCCGATGCGGGGCTCGATCCCAGGACCCTGAGATCATGACCTGAGCCGAAGGCAGACGCTTAACAACTGAGCCACCCAGGTGCCCCTCAACTATATTTTAACAAAGACATTTGTTTTGTTGTTGTTTTTCAAGACTCAAACTGGAAACTACATAGTTAATATGTGAAAAGATTTTATGCATTGACAACTGTCATGGTCTGAATGTTTGTGTCACCCCGCAAATTCATATGTTGAAATTCTAACCCCCAAAAGTGATCATGTTAGGAGGTAGGGGTCTTTGGAAGGGGAGGATGGAGTCCTCATGAATGGAATTAGTACTCTTATAAAAAAGATCCCACAGAGCTCCCTGGCCCCTTCCACCACATGAGGATACCATAAGAAGTCTCTGACTCAGAGAGACCCCTCACCCACTCAGGCCAGGACCCTGATTTCAGTCTTCCAGCCTCCAGAATGGTGAGAAATAAATTTCTATTGTTTATAAGCCATCCAGTCTGTGGTATTTTGGCTATAGCAGCCCAAACAGACTAAGACAAAAATGATTGAACACTAATAAGTCACATGTAGTGTGTATTACCCTTCCATATTCTTCTTCCATATTATAAATTTTATTTTTTTTGAAGATTTTATTTATTTATTTGTCAGAGAGAGCACAAGCAGGGGGAGCAGCAGGCAGAGAGAGAAGCAGACTTCCCGCTGAGCAGGGAGCTCAATGTGGGACTTGATCCCAGGACCCTGGGATCATGACCTGAGTTGAAGGCAGCCGCTTAACCGACTGAGCCACCCAGGCATCCTCTTCCATATTATAAATTTTAAAAATCTAGATTATCAAGTTCATCTCTAGTTTCTATGGACTAGTTAAAAGAGCTTCCTTTTCTTTATCATTTGCTATGATCAAATATCTATATATGAACTCTCATTATTAAGCTTTTTCTATAGGTTTAGAGGAATAAAATATTATTATCTTCAGCTTATAAATACAACAAAATGAGGGGGGAAGAGAGGCAGGGGAAATTTTGATTTACACTGCTCTCAGATAGTTGTAACATGTGGGTAATCCTGGACTCAAAGAAAATTAGGCAAATTCTCAGGTTCCACCCCAGAATTACTAAAGCAGAAACTGCAAAATGGGACCTAGCATCTGTGTTTAAAAAACTCCTCCAGATGATTTTTATACACACTAAAGTTAGAGAAGCCCTGATCTAAATTTCTTAGAGAAAGAGATACACCTGGTCTTGTCCATAGCTCTGGGATTCCCAGTCTGTTTTAGCAAAATGTGCTTGCAGATGTCATCCACTGCCCCTCCCCAGGGGACACTGCTAACTGAGGGCTTACTGATTTCTGGAGGGAAGTGGAGGCAGAAAAGGAATTACAGAGCTCCTAATATATGCTAGGCAGTGTGATTGGTGCTTGTGCTTCTGTACAGTGATTTCCAACTTGATCTTCACTGATTTTACAGAAGGAGAGTTTTCAATTACAATCTAAACCTGAGCTATATTTCAACAGCATGGATTTTTATTATTTTATTTTATTTTTTAACAGCATGTATTTTTTTAAAGTTAATAGACACATGTTTAAGAGTACAGTGAAATTGAATGGAAAATACGGAGTTCCTATATACCCTTCCTTCCCCAACCCCACTACATACGTGCAGCTTCCCTCACCATCAACATCCCCAATCAGTATGATACATTTGTTACAGCTGATGAACCAACATGGACACATCATTATCCCCAAAGTCCATAGTTTACATTAGGGTTTACTCTTGGTGGTATATGTTTTATGGGTTTGGACAAATGTATAATGACATATATTTGCTAGTAGTGTGTCATACAAAATAGTTTCACTGCCCTAAAAATCACCTGTGTTCCACCTGTTCATCCCTCCCTCTCCCCTAGCCCATGGCAACCAATGATCTTTTTACTGCCTCTTCAGTTCTGCCTTTTCCAGAATGTCGTATAGTTGGAATTATAAAGTATGTTGCCTTTTCAGATTGGCTTCTTTGACTTAGCAATATGCATTTAAGGTTCTTCCATGTCTTTTTGTGGCTTGATAACTCATTTCTTTTTATCACTGAATAATATTTCATTGTATGGATATACCATAATTTCTCTATTCATTCACATATTGAAGGACATCTTGGTTGCTTCCAAGTTTTGACAATTATGAATAAAGCTGCTGTAAACATTCACATGCAGATTTTTGTGTGGACATCAGTTTTCAGCTCATTTGGGTAAATACCAAAGTACACAATTGCTGGATCATATGGTAAGAATATGTTCAGCATTATAAGAAATCTGTCAGACTGTATTCCAGAATGGCTGTACCATTTTGCATTCCAACCAACAATGAATGATTGTTGCTCCACATCTGCACCACTTGCTGTTTTCAGTGTTTGGGATTTTGACCATTCTAATAGGTGTATGGTAGGATCTTGTTATTTTAATTTGTGATTCCTTAATGGCATATGATATTAACTTATGTTGAGGAAATATATATGCTTATTTGCCATTTATAAATCTTTGGTGAGGTGTCCAGATCTTTTTCCCTTTCTATTTTTTTTTTTTTTAAGATTTTATTTATTTGACAGAGAGAGAGACAGCGAGAGAGGGAACACAAGCAGGGGGAGTGGGAGAGGGAGAAGCAGGCTCCCCGTGGAGCAGGGAGCCCGATGCGGGGCTCGATCCCAGGGCCCTGGGATCATGACCTGAGCCGAAGGCAGACATTTAACAACTGAGCCACCCAGGTGCCCCATCTTTTTCCCTTTTTAAATTGAGTTTTACATTTCCATATTCTTGACTTTTAAGAGTTCTCTGTAAAAAAAAATTTTTTTTTTAATTCTTTGTATATTTTGGATTGTTGGGTTTGGCCAGCAAACCTCGATGCGGCAAACAAAAAGATTACTCCAGATACCTTAGTAGGAGAAAGGAGAAGGGACCAGATGTTCTAGTGGCAAAAGGCCCCGAGCCAAGCTCTTCCTCCACTTTTATTGTGAGCGTTATCAATACATCAAGGGAATAAAAAAAACAAGGAGTGTGAAACTTTAATAATCAGGACAGTAACAAAGGGAGTATCCTGTGATTAGAACAAGCTATGCTCATGTCACACATGCAGGCAGGGAGTACGTGACCACCAAAGATAAATGTTTCTCCTAAGAATTTATTCCCTGGATGAGTGCACTGATCTGCAACAAGGATCCGGCTGTTTTCAGCCCAGAAACTGCAAAGGAGGCCCAGTTTTCTGGAACTCCTTCTTTGCTTTTCAATTAGTCTCACCCAGAGAGGCATATATTTATTAAATCTTATCTAGCCAGGCATTATGAATTCCCACATTGGATGATAAATATGTGTTTTGCACTGTTTTCTCTCAGTCTGTGGCTTGTCTTCTCTTTCTATCGACAGTGTCTTTCACATAGCAGAAGGTTTTAATTCTAATTCTAATGAAGTCCAACTTGTCAATGTTTCTTTTTTGGATTGTGTCCTCGGCATTGTATCTAAAAAGTCATCATCTCCAAACCTAAGGTCATCTAGATTGTCTCGTGTGTTCTTAAGTGTTTTCTACTTTTTCCATTAGAGCCCTTAGTGTATGAATTATAGTTGTTTTAAATTCCTGGCTTGATCATTCCAACATCCTTGCCATATCTGAGACTGGTTCTGATGTTTGCTCTGTCTCTTCAAACTCTATTTTTTGTCTAGTAGTATGCCTTGTAAATTATTGTTGAAAACCAGACATCAAGTACTGGATAAAAGGAACTGGCATACATAGCCCCTTAGTGTTGATAAGGTGTGGGGAATGGGAAACATTCTATAGTCCTATGATTTGGTCTCAGTCTTTTAGTGAGCCTGGGCCCCTAGGCTGTGACATTTTACAAGTGGTTCTCAGTTTCCCACCCCACCTTCCTTAGGTAAGACAGGAAAACTAGTGGGGAATGGAGTTGGATCCTTCTTTTCCCCCAGGTCAGGTGGGCTCTGGTGACATAGTTTCTCTTGAGGGCAGGCCTTATTAAGAAGAACAGTGTTCTGGCCCTATGTCAAAATGGCTACCATTCCCCTCCCCTTGCTAGAAGCATGAGAAGACTTTTCCCCCCAGTCTTCACTGTGAGAGCCTGGTAGGGCTTCTGTAGGTAAAACTCACAAAAGAGTGGGAGTCATCCTATGAGTGACCCCCAACTGGAATTTTTAACTCTCAGACTTGTCTGCATTGAACTCCAGCAATTAGTCCATTACAGCTTAGGTGTTCGACCACAGAGGTTCCTGTAGAGGTTTCTGTATGCGAGTTTCTGTTCTGGTAAGTTGTGGTTCTCCGTATCTGCCTATCTGCCTCTCCAGATTTTGTGGCAGTGGTTTGTTCTGTGACCTCACTTCTGTGACAGATCTAAGAAAAGCTATTGATTTTTAGTTTGTTCAGCTTCTTTCTTTTCATGTGGACAGGAATAACCATTTCCAAGATGACAGTGTGCTAGACCAGAAACTGGAAGTCATGTGAAGTAAAACTTTTTTTAAGAAATTTTTTTATTGTTATGTTAATCACCATACATTACATCATTAGTTTTTGATGTAGTGTTCAATGATTTATTGTTTGTGCATAACACCCAGTGCTCCATGCAGAATGTGCCCTCTTTAATACCCATCACCAGGCTAACCCATCCTCCCACCCCCCTCCCCTCTAGAACCCTCAGTTTGTTTTTCAGAGTCCATCGTCTCTCATGGTTCGTCTCCCCCTCCAATTTCCCCCCCTTCATTCGTCCCCTCCTGCTATCTTCTTCTTTTTTTTTCTTAACATGTATTGCATTATTTGTTTCAGAGGTACAGATCTGTGATTCAACAGTCTTACACAATTCACAGTGCTCACCATAGCACATACCCTCCCCAATGTCTATCACCCAGCCACCCCATCCCTCCCACCCCACCTCCCACTCCAGCAACCCTCAGTTTGTTTCCTGAGATTAAGAATTCCTCATATCAGTGAGGTCATATGATACATGTCTTTCTCTGATTGACTTATTTCGCTCAGCATAACACCCTCCAGTTCCATCCACGTCATTGCAAATGGCAAGATCTCATTCCTTTTGATGGCTGCATA